AAAAATTTAATTTAAAAAATACTTTACTATTATTTATAATAGGGCAGGGTGCTTTTGTTTTGTTGCTTGGATTGTTTTGGCTATTGTTTGGTTTTGATTAAGGTAGTTCAAACTCAGCAGCAGAGAAGGCACTGAATACAATAATGTAGAGAAAAAAAATAGTGCCTTGAAGACAGTCATTTTCTGACAAATAATATTCTTCCTGAATGTGAAGAATTCCATTTCCTAGGACTGTTAAGTCAGAGTTACTATTCCTCGTTACTGAGGAAGAAATTAATTTTAGGAGAGAGCAGCAAAATAAGCAGGGAAGTTTAACAAGAATGTTAAAAAGTGTGTGTCGGGGCTGAAGAGATGGCCCAGCGGTTAGTAGCACTGGCTGTTCATGCAGAAGACCCGAGTTCAAATCCCAGCACCTATATCGTGGCTCACAACCGTCCGTAACTCCAGTTCCAGGGGATCAGACACCCTCTTCGGTCCTCCATAGGCACTGCATGACATGGGTATACTTACACACATGCATAACATTCATACACACAAAAAATAAAAATAAGGTTTTTTTTGTTTAATTTTTAAGAGAGAGTGTGTCATAACAAAAGGCAATACATCCAAAACTGAACTGAAGAACTAGTAGAGTCACACTTTAGAGCTAATAGAGATTTTTCCTTTTTCGCCTCATTAGGCCTTCCTGTTCTTATCATTTCTGGCCCAAGCTCCTGAATCTTCCCTTTTACCAAGTTGTGACCCTTTTAGTCACTAATAGTAATTTTCCTATGTGATTTATAAGCCAAATATCAAGTCTATGCATTCCATCATACTCCAAATCAAAAGCTCTAAAACCACACAGCCACTCCCCTTTCCTGACTTTTGCTTATTATGTCTGACTCTTCAACCTTTCTTTGAAGTTGCTGAAATAATGCTGAGAATGTTTGAACTTTGTTGTGAAATCACAAAATTTCCCATAGTAGGAGGGAAGAAATTTGTATTGTAGTATGGGGCTGGAGAGATGGGCCTGGTGGTTAAAAGTATGCCCTGCTCTTGCAGAAGATCCGCATTCAATTCCCAGTGTCAGGTGACTTACAACCACCTGTAACTCCAGCTCCAGGGGATCCTAAGGATCTGTGCTTCTGAGGACACCTGTGTACATGTGCACAACCCCACACATATACATAAATAAATAATTTTTTATATAAAAGACTGTATTATGTTAAGGCTAAAGTGGAAAAGGGAGAGGGGAACAGAGGCAAAGAAAAAGGGAGAGGAAGGGGAAGGAAGTGGAGGAGAGGAAAAAGAAAGAAAGAAAGGAAATAAAACGAAGATGAGAGGAATTAGGTGGCAGCCAAAGCCCAAAGAGAGGGTGTGATTCTGCCAGTGTCACACAGCCCCTGTCTCCTATCTGATATCCATCAGAAGGCCCTTTCCATTTCTCCACGGGGCCCACAATGCAGATAGATCTCTTTGGTCTGGAGAAAAGTTGTCATTTAAAGGTAAATATAAGTAGCCAGCCATGACTTTAATCCCAGCACTCGGGAGGCAGAGGCAGGCAGATCTCTGTGAGTTCACGGCCAGCCTGGTCTACATAGTGAGTTCCAGGACAGCTGGGGCTGCAGGGAGACCCTTTCTCAAAAAGACCAAAAAAAAAAAAGATAAATATAAGCAGAATACCAATTCAAAATCATATGCTGCTTCAAGTAGGCTTTGTCCTAGTGGACTGTAGAGAAGGAACGTCATCTAGAAATAGAATGTGTAGAGGTCAGGAGCTCTTGAAATGTGAGGATGGGGAGGAGGAGGAGTATGCGTGCTGGATTCCCTTTCTGCTTCCTCTCTTCTTCAGAGCCACTGACAGCACCAGTGTAGGGGGTTCTTAGGAAGTGGCATCCTCTCCAGGACGCTTGGAGGGTCATAGGAGGAATAATGTCTTTAGTGGCTAGACTAGTGTAGCTGCATGCCCTGCCTTTACCATAGGAAAAGAAGCTTCACAATCTGTCTTATGACTAGCACATTTTAAGATCAGGACTGCTCAAACCCTAGAATCTTCTTTAGGAACAGATGTAAGTTAACTATTTAAATCCCCTTTTGTAATTTACTGTTCTGTCTTTAGGCTTTGTGTGCCAAGCTTCTCTTCCAGTTTGCTACCCTGCAGGTCATCTACAGATGGTGTCAGACTTGTCACAGACAGCTTCATAAGCTCAGTATAGAGTAAAAGTAATCATTCTAATGCCTTATTTTTTTTAAGTTTATATTTGATTAAAATTGGTTTGCCATTTAGCTCAATTTCTTTTTTTAAAAAAAAGAATTCGGTTATGCTCATTTTTGTAATAATTGAAATTTTGTTGATGAAAATTTTGTTTTTAAATACTTTGAAGCTAAAATTTAATCTTTTGCTGTATTTTAATTTATGTGTATGAGTGTATTGCCTGCATGTGTGTCGTGCGATACCTAAGGAGGTCAGAAGTGGGTGTCAGATCCCCCTGGAACTAGAGTTAAGGATGGAGGTTAGCCGCCATGTGGGTGCTGGGAACCAAACCCAGGTCCTCTACAAAAGCACCAGTGCTTTTAACCACTGCGCCATCTCTCCAGCCCCTGCTGCTTTTTAAATTTTTTTTTGAAGTGTGTGTGTGTGTGTGTGTGTGTGTGTGTGTGTGTGTGTAGTATATGTGGGTATACTGTGAATGGAGGCCAGAGGAAGATGTTGTGTGTCCTGCTTCATTATTCTCTCCCTTATTCCTTTGAGTCAGGCTCTGTAACTGAGCCTGGAGCTTGGCTGGTGGCCAGCAATCCTCCTGTCTCTACCCTCACAACACTGGGGTTACAGGTACACGTGGCTACATCCATTTTACATGGGTGCTAGGGATTGAAACTTCTACTTGTGCTGCAATAACTGTTACCGCTTTTCTCCACTGAGCCATCCCTATCTTAGCTGCTTTCCAAAGGAAAAAATAATTCTGGTATATTAAACTTTAAAAAAAAATTTTTTTATTCATTGTTTTTATTTATACTTCTGCATGTATTGCCTGCATATAGGAAAGTGCACCCATGTCATGCAATACCCACAGAGATCAGAAGAGGCTGTCAGATCCCTTACGGACAGTTGTTAGCTGCCATGTGGGTGCTGGGATTTGAACCTGGGTCTTCTACAAGAAAACAGTGTTCTTAACTGCTGAGCCATCTGTTCAGCCCCTAAAACAAACATTTGAGTTACCAATGTTCATGAAAATTGGTACCAAGTACAGCTTTTTTTTTTTTTTTTTTTTTGTGATCCAAGAAGAATTTCCTGAACTCTCAGTTCCAGGCAGTGTTTAAACACTTCCAAAAAAGAGTAGATGAAGGAGAATTTTTTTTTTTTAATCTTAAGAAATTCAGCCATATTTTTTTAAAGTTCTGCTTTAGAAATTTTGAGCATAAGTATAACAAATGCTCAAATCTTTGATAAAAGGTTGTTCTTTAAGGTTTGACTCAAAACCAAAATATATAATTTCTTATAAAGAGGAAATCTTTAACATTAGTATGAATGAGATGCAATTCTAAATGAAACTGTATGAAATCCAGCATTTGAGTTTTGTTTGTTGTTAATTTCACTTTTTAAGTAACAGTTGTTCAGTCATAGAGGAGTAACAAGACTACTAAATTGCAAAGAAACCTGTACTTACCGATGTTGATATGTGGTTTTGGTTGTTTCAGGGATTACCTTCTGCCTCCTGAGAGCCAGCCTCTGCATGAGGTGTTGTACTTCAGTGCGGCCCACACGCTTCGTGAGCATTTAAATGCTGCTCCACGAATCGCTCTCCACACCGCACTCAATAATCCCTATTATTATCTAAAGGTAAAAGCAGATTCAGTTCTCTAACATAACAGTTAAGCTCAACCCTGAGACTTTGATTTCACTAAAGTATTTTAAGTTTGCAGTTCTGTTTTCTTTCAACTTTTTTTCAATATATATTTTCAACGTGAATTTTTGTGGACTTCATGCAAAACATCTTAATCATCTTTATACCCCTGCCCCAGCAGATTTCATGCTTTCTGTCATGTATGTTAAGGCCTGTCAAGTCAAGTTTGAGTGCCCAGATATCCCTGAGTGCCCTTAAAGAAGATCAGCTCTCCCTCACCCAGCAGTAATCAGCTGTCAGTAGTTGTTCAGCTAAGGTTGGGGCCACTGCTTGCTCCAAGCCTTAAGGCCTGAGTTTGTTGTTTGGAGAGAAAGGACTTCTATAAGTTGTCCTCTCACCCACACCTGGGCACGCACAAACTTAAATAAGCAAATATTTTTTATAAAACAGCAACTCATAGGTATAAAACTTGAGAATGTAATGCTGCTTACCCTTAGAAGATAAATGTTTCCCATAGATGGCCAAGGGTTAGGTAATATGGCCTAATAGTAAGTATTTGAAGATCCAAATGCTAATTTCTAATGGAAAAAATACTTTAGGATTACATCTTAGATTTTAAATCAAAATAAGAAATCTATTCTGAGAGTATCTGCAGAGGTATTGTGGAGAATGGCTGTCAGTCTGCTGCAGAGGCTCCTAAGGTGATACACTAGGGTAGAGCCAGTTGCCTAAAAAAAAGAAAAAAAGAGAGATCAGAACAGCTTCAGATTTTTTAAACTACCTTCCTGAGGCTGGAGAGATGGCTCAGCAATTAAGAGCACTGACTGCTCTTGCAGAAGACCCAGGTTCAATTCCCAGCACCCACCTGGTGCTGACAACTGTCTATAACTCTAGTTCCAGGGGATCTGGTGCCCTCTTCTGTCCTTCTCAGGGATTGCATGACACAGGTGAATTGACATACATGCAGGCAATATACTCATACACATGAAATAAAGATTAAATAAATAAAACTATCTTCCTTATGACAGATAAAATGAGCACTTTAGACACTGAGAAGATATTAAGTAGGTAGGTAGATAAACAGCTAGCATTTTCACACATACACACGCATGGAAAGAGTTCTAAGTTATCAACTCAGTTAGGTTCCTAGAGAAAACCTTCAGAAAAGATGCTTTAGAAATAACTACCAAGTCAAGAGTGATAGCACATGCTTACACACATGCACTACACAGGCTAAGATCACTGAGTTCAAGGCCAGCCAGGGATAGTTAGTGAGACTATAATTAAAAAAAAAAAAAAAACCCATAGTGCCTGGGCATTGTGGCTCATTGGATAAAGGGGCTAAAGCACTAGCCACATAAGCCTGATAGCCTGAGTTCAGTCCCCAGAACCCATGTAAAGGTGGAAGGAGAAAATCAACACCAAAGTTGTCCTCTGACCTCTTTATGCATTATCTATGGCACATACACACCTCCCACACATATCATACACATACACAATAGCAATAATTTTTAAATTAAAAGTGTTTTTTAAAAAAACTGAAGTGATTCCATAAAAACCTACAAAAGCATCCCAAAGTACTGGCTTCTCACCAAGTGGCATGCAGATGTGATTATTGGGAGAGATACTGTAGGAAGTTATGTCAGTAGTTTTCAATGATGATGGTGATTCAGGAGCTTGGTAATTTTATTTTTAAAGATTTAATTTTTTTATTATATATTTACATGTGCTTCTGTGTAGGTCTGTGCTCCTATGAGTAAGGAGAGTTCAGAGGAAGGTATTAGATCCTGTGGAGCTGAAAGTACAGGTTACTGTGAGCCACCCAGTGTGGGTGCTGGGAACTGAACTCTGGTTTTCTGCAAGAGCGCTAAGTGCTCTTAACTGCTGAGCCATCTCTCCAGTCCCAATAATTTCATATTTAAAGAACAGGCTGGTGAGATGGTTCAGCCTTGAGTGGGCAAAGGCACTTGTTGCCAGTCCTGACTACCTAAGTTCAATCCTTAAGACCCAAGTGTTGGAAGGAAAAAACTATACTGCAAATTGTCCTCTGACCTCAACACTCAACAGGCATGTACACACACACACACACACACTTTAAATAAATGTAATTTAAAAATGTTAATAGCAAAAGGGTTTTGTGTATGTGTCTTTTTTTTTTTTTTCAATAATTTTTCTTTTTTGCTCTTTTGAGACAGGGTCTCTCTGTAGCCCCCCGCTGTCCTGGAACTCTGTAGACCAGGCTGGCAATAACAACAAAAAGTCTTAATATATGAACTAAAAATTAAAACTTTTACAAAATCTTAACATTTTGTGGAGTTACAGAAACAAACTGATATGATTTTATAGTCTTTGGGGGAATATAATACACTTCATTTTGTGTATGTTGTTTCTTAATAAAAACATGGATTATAAATAGGTTAAACCAATACTGACAGTTTCTATCGGGCCTAAGATCTGCAGTTTTAGGGGCTGGTTAAGAGTACTTCCTGCACGGTGTGGTGGCGCACACCTTTAATCCCAGCACTAGAGGCAAGTGGATCTCTGTGAGTTCAAGGCCAACCTGGTCCACATAAAGAGTTCCAGGCCAGCTGGGGCTACAGGGAGGCCCTGTCTCAAAAAAAAGAGTACTTCCTGCTCTTCCAAAAGATTTGAGTTCAGTTCCCAGTATCCACACCTGTATCTCCAGTTCCAGGGAATCTTGACACTCTCTTCTGGCCTTTGCAGGCACCTGGATACAAATGGCAAACATTCACACAGACACATACATACACACAAAAATAAATCTTGAAAGACAAGATCTTGGTGCTGGGAAGATGGATCAGTGGTTAAGAACACTGACTATTCTTGCAGAAGACCCAGGTTTGAATCCCAGCATCCACATGGCAGCTAACAACTGTCCATAACTCCAGTCCCAGAGGATCCAACAGCCTCTTCTGACCTCTGCGGGCATTTGCACTACATGGGTGCACTTAACCTACATGCAGGCAATACACGCATACACATAAAAATAATAAAAAATTTTTAAAAAGACAAGATCTGCAGTGTTGGCTGGATATGGTGTTGCAGTCATGTAATCCTAGAGGTTCAGGGACAACAGACCAAGTTCCAGGTTAACCTAGACTATTTTAAGACCCTGTCTCAAAAATAAAAACAAAAAATATGCAGTGTTGGCAACAGTCCTTTTCTTTGAGAGATAGCTTATACTCCTATTAATGATATGCATTTACTAATTTGATTTAGTAATTGCTAGTATTGCACTAATAACAACTCTTAAACTATGAGAAGAAACTAAAAAGTTCCTCTTACTGGTTTACTAAATATAGATTAGGAGTTCAGTAATAGCTTTTTGGTGACCGTTTTTAAGAGGTAGTCAACTTTATTGTTTTCTTAGAATGAAGCCCTGAAAAGTGAGGAAGGCTGCATTCCAAATGTCGCCCCTGATGTGTGTGTAGCATATAAACTTCACCTGGAGTGTAGCAGGCTCATCAACCTTGCTGACTGGTCAGAGGTATGTTACAGACAAGAGCATTTCATTACCTGTGGCAACTTTCCTAGAATATTTTTATGCTTTTGGTACGCTTGAATTCACCTTTTATTTTTTAAATTCAATTGGAAAGCACGAATTGTGTTATACTTTAGAAATTCCTTAGAAATTAATAGCAGCTTCAGCAGCTTTCACTCCCAGCCTCCTGTTTGAATCCTACATTCCTTAAACTAAGGCAGTTCTGTTTGTAACAAGTCAAAATAAGTATGTGATCTAACTGTACAGCAACAAGCAAAAGCCGAATGATTCGGGTCAGCTCTGTGTATCTCACAAAATAAAGAAGTACAATATTCACTAGTATTTACCTTATTGCATAAATGGAAAAACTGGAATGACTACACAACAGATTGAATTATCAGGAGTAAGGAGTAGTTGATAAAGCAACAGACAGCTATTGCTGTTCTTGCCCTCTGAGATTTTACAGAGAGCTTACTCTCTGAATGTCCTGTGACTGATGTCTTGTCACCATGAAAAAAATATGCTGCATTAGCTGCCTCTATGAAATATATGTATTTTCCTGGAGTAAGAAATTGATAGGAGACAGAGCTTTCTTTTAAATTTTTGAATGGGTTTCTTACTCTTCTCTGCTTCATAGCTCTCTGAAACAAGACTATCAAAAGTAGTTATTTTTTAATTTATACCTGATGAGACAATGTAGTTTCAAGAATTTGAAATTTGATATAATGAAAAAGGTATGTACAAGCTATCTATAGTAGCAGTATTAAACCCTGCTTAATTATAAACACAGGGAGTCTAGAAATGGATGTCCAGTTCTTATTTTCTTCTGTTTTGTATATTCAAAAGGCTTTTGCAACAGTTGTGACAGCTGCTGAAAAAATGGATGCAAGTTCTACAACTTCAGAAGAAATGAGTGAAATTATCCAGTATCCTTTTTAGTACCAGTTCTACAGTGTCCTAGTACAGAAGATTGTAAGTTTCAAGTTGAGGAGTACTCAGTGGTAGAGCACAGGGCCTTGCGTTCAAGGCCCAGCACCGAAAATAAGCTATAAACACCTAAATTTACATTTAGATTCATCAAGATGTATTGTTAATATTAACCATACTATCTTAGAATAACCTAAATTTCTAAATATTTTGAATTTAATATGACACAAACCTAAAATATTTTATCTCAAATATATACTCCAAATTTTACTAAAAATGAAATTGGTCATTGAAGTCTCAACTTTTAAAACATTTTATTTTTTTGTTATTTTATGTGTTTGAGTGTACGGACTTACATGTATATAAGTGCACCCATGTCCTGCAATGCCCACAGAGGTCAGAAGAGTGTCGGCTCCGCTGGAACTGGATTTACAAACTTTTCTTAGCCACCGTGTGGGTGCTGGGAATCGAACCTGGGTCCATTGCAAGAGCAGTCATCTCTTAACCACTGAGTCACCTCTCCAGCCCCAAATTCTCAACTTAAATGTACTTTTAGATACTTGGGAGGGGGCCATTCCTATACTATGGGAAAATGTAGGTTTACATAAGAGTCCATCACTTTTACATTTGTTTTCTATCTGGTATTTTTTCTGAGACAGTATCATGTGGCCCAGGCAGACTTCAAGCTCAATATAACTGAGGAGGGCATTAAAGTCCCATCTCCATCTCCCAAGCGCTGGAGTTATAGGCATGTAATATGACACCCAGTTCTGCCTGCATCTTACTAATAGTGAAGTCTAATATTTAATTTTTTTCCAATAAACAAGGTTATAATTACAAATATTTCAAACACCTATTTGAATTTAACAGTTAACATTTTAACTTGACCGGGCATGGTGGCCTTTAATTCAGGCCAGCCAAAGCTACATACCCTGTCTCAAAAGTTTTGACATTTTAGCTTTTTTGTTAAAAAATACTTTATTAGCTGATTTCCTTAGCTGGTCTCCAGTGCTCGGTTCATTAGAGCTGTTTCTGAACTAGAACTTTTAGGGTTTATAAAATCCACAAAGCAGAAGACTGATCATGTGGCAAGGCTAACATGGGGAGGCTGCTAGAAAGCAAGGAGTGAAGGCAGAAGGACCACACCTCCTGTAAGAATATTTATATGCCACTGAAAGTTCTGGTGAGGAATGTGTAATCCTCTTGTGATGTTTAGCCAGAAAGTGGACTGCTAACCCAAAACAGGTATAATCAAAACGTCTTTGGAGTACTTCAGAAATCTAATCATCATGCTTACATGACTAAACCTCTGGCACATCACTGTACTTTCCACCGAGTCGTACTAAATTCTGAGTAAATCCTTCTTGAATGTATGTAAATGGAATAAATGTCTTTATTCAGTGTTACTTCTAATTGGTATAGCAGGACTCATTCTTTGAATTCTTGTACTAAAACTTCTCACTTTAATGTATTGTATAACATCAATGTGCTATAGGTTTTCTTTCCATTCCTAGAAGGGCTCTAAAACTGCCTCTGCCTCCCCATTTCCTTTAATCTTGCAATTTACAAGTCTTCTAAGTTGTTTGGCTTTATACTTAATGGCAGTAAATACTTCTAGATGTTCAGTCATGGAGACTTACAGCCATGTAGTGCTCTCCAAGCTTACAAAACTCAGAAGGGTAAAAGTAAGACACAGGTAAAATGATCTCTTCCAATATAAGAACTTAATACATAATGAATCAGACACTTAAAGCTCATTATTTAATGTTCAACTCCAGAGAGAATTCAGAAGCTTAACATTACCAAATTTCCATGCAAATTTGGTTGGGGCAGTGAAGACGTTCCCCCTCAAAAAACAGACTTTGTTACCAAGCCTTAGCATTAGCTTGTAGTTGCAGTGTGTGTGCATGCATGTGCACATACAACTTTGAGAGCAATTTTAGTATATATGTCAATTCTGGTGTGTGGGTGTTAAATTGTGTATGGATTTAAAATGTCTCAGACCTCTGGCAACACAATAATGGGCTTAGGTGGCATTAATTAGTAGCTGGTACTCCCCCCCCCAAAAAAAAGTTTGGCTTCAAATACATTAAAATTGCCCCAAAATATGTCCCCAAAACAAATGATCAGAAATGTTATTAAGGCTCAAAGAGTTGGGGACCCCAAAGTAACAGAATCAAAGAATCAACTGCAAAGCAGAACAGATGGTATATAGTCCTGTAGAGTTTTAAAGGGAAGGAGGGGGTCATGACCAGAATAGCATTCATTAGGTTAACCCCTTACCATCTTCATCTCAAAGATTTGTTTGGCAGAATGTACTTAGGCATACAGGACACTCAGCTTGAAAGTTAAGCTTATGATAATATATATACACAAAATTACCACCACCAGGAAGTAACTAAGCAAATACAATCTTTAACATCTTGTGACAAAGGCAGAGCCTATCATCCTAAGGGTCCTTGAACAATGGCATCAAGCAGATCGTCTGTCATACTATTTCTGCTATGTGAATGAATGCAGTATGATTCCATGATTTACCTTTATAGAATATACCAATGTTTTCTCCATACTCTAGCCATTCCTCATCATTTAAATGTGTCTTCACTGGTGTTACATTTTGTTACAATTAATACTTTTCTCCTTGCTATGAAAAAATGACAAAAGTAACCTAAGGACAGTTTGTTTTGGTTCATAATTCAAGGGTATAGGGAAGTCATGGCAGGACTGGTTACAGGGTATCCTGAGAAGAGATAATACTGATGCTCAGCTAGCTTTTTTTTTTTTTAAGGCAGTCTGGGACTCTAGCCCAAGGAATGGTGCCACCCACATTTAGGGCAAGTCTTCCCACCTCAGTTAATCTAGATAATCCCTCCTAGGCATACCCAGAGGCTTGTCTCCTAGATGATTGTAGATCCCAACAAATTGACAATCATGTTAATCAACGGTTTGTAAACATCTTGGGAAAAGACTTGTGTAGATGATTTTAAAGATTTTCCATCTATTGCCTCTTCGAGGCAGTTGGCCTTGAGGAAGTTTAACAATACTATACACTTGGCTTAATGAAAGTACCATCAAAAGGCTTCTTCCAGCTTTCAAAAGACACAAGTGTGCACCAGATAAAATTGTTCAGAAGCTTTTTTGAGTCAGGTTTTCACTATGTATTCCAAGGCTGGCCTTACACTGTGGTGTAACCCAAGCTTGCCTCAAGCTCATGATCCTTTCTCCACCTCCTGAGTTCTGAGATCATAGGCATTTCACTGTGCCCAAATTAGAAACCACTTCTTTAAACAGTATATTTTATGCATAAAAAATATAGGAACTAGCCTTGTTGAGACTAGCAGGTTCCTTTTTTTGTCTGAGGTACAAGTTCCGATTTTACCTCCCCCCCTTTTCCTGGGCACTTGACTGTATGTGTACAACCTAAATGCATGCCATGCTCTGAACCACATCTGTGGTTCCACATAGCACAATGGAAACTGTACTGTTCTCATAGTAAATATCCAAAAGACCTGTAATATTAAAACTTGAAGCTGATTTGTGGTAATCACTTGGAATCCTACAAAAGATCAGTTCAAACCTGTCTGTTCCTTAATTCAGGAAAACTGAAACTTCAGATTTAGAATTGGGGTACTCTCACTTTTAGTGAAACGCTAATCTAAAACTTTCAAGTACTATTTGTTTATTCAGAAAAATATTGGGCATGTACTATGTGCCAGGAACTTCTGAGATACTCTAAGGAACAAAGATCCTTGTTTTATACTTCAGCAAAGTATAACAGACCTTAAGTGATGAAAAAATTACCCATGAAGTTTTGTGGGTGAACCCACTAGGTAGACAGTAGGGATGCCAAATGCCCTAAGGCAGGAATACCCCCAGGATACCAAAAGAACAAGCGGTAGCCAGTGAGGGTAGGGTGGCTCAATGAATGAGAGGCAACAGTGCAGTCACAGTGCCCTCTCTGTAGATCACTGTAAGGTTTGCTTTATGAAGTAGGAAGCAATCTAAGGAAAAGACACTTAAACCTTCAAATGATCACTAGATGCTGTGCAAAACTAGAGGTAGTGACACCTATCAAGAGACCTGAGATGTTAGAATGAAGATAGAATGAAAACAATTTGGCCCAAAGTGCCAGTAATGTTAAGATTGAGAATCTCGGTACTAAGAGATTGAGCAACATAGCCACCTTGTGCTATAACCAATGTTTCTCATACAGATTTATGTCGACTAGGGATCTTGTTTAAAACCTACATCACTTTAGTGACTTGTCTTTAAATGAAATTATGGAAAGCAATTAGCAAGTTAAAAAAATGTGCCTGGTACATGCCTTTAGTCCCAGCACTCTGGAAGCAGAAGCAGATCTTTCAGAGATTGAGGCCAGTCTGGTAGACAGTCGTTTCCAGGCCACCTGGGGCTCCCCTGTCTCAAAAAGGGAAGGGAAAAAAAGACAAACTTCCCTTCCCATTGAGTATATTATAAATGTACATATATATCCTCCTACATTTAAGATTGATGTAATGAAGTTGGGTGTGGTGGCACACACCTTTAGTCCCAGCACTCAGGAGGCAACGGCAGGCGGATCTCAGCCCCGCTCCCTGCAAAAGGGGGGGGTTGGTGTAATGAGTGGACATATGCCATTGAACAGTGAGCCATCCCTCCAGCCCAGACAAAATCTCTAAAAAAATGTAAACGAATTTGGGGCTAGAGATGGTTCAGCAGTTACTGCAGCTACCAGCTCTAACTCCAGTTCCAGGGGACCCAATGCACTCTGGATTCTCCACAGGCACTGCACGTGTGTCTGTGTGTGTGTGCGCGCCACAAAACACTCATAATTTAAAAAAAAAAAAATCAAAGCTTTTTAATTTTTTGTTTAAAAAGTTCACTGAAGAATATTTTTGCGCAATAGTTTTTAAGACAGGGTCTTCTTGCAGCCCCAGCCAGCCTGGAACTCAGTAGACTAGGCTAGCCTCCATCTCAGAGATCCACCTGCCTCTGCCTCCCAAGTGCTGGGATTAAAGGCATGCGCCATCACACCCCGTGTTGCTTTTATTTTCATGAGAGAGGGTCTCATATAGTTCATTGAGGCTGGCCTTGAACTCCTGATTCTCCCGCCCTAACCTTCCAACTACAGATATTACAATGGTGCTTGCCTTCACGCAGTTTGCTCACTTCATTGTAAGAAAGCTATGGGAAGTGTGTTACATCTGTTCAGTCAGTCCTCCTGTAGGTTAAATTGTCAACTTGATACAACCTAGAATCACCTGGAAAGTCTCAACGAGGGACTGTCTACATCAGGGTGGCCTGAGTGTGACTGTCTTAATTACCTTAATTGATATGGGAAGAGCCAGTCTCAAAATGGGCACCAGCGCCTGGGTGAGGGCCGTACAAAGCATGTCTGTATTCATTTCTCTGGATGGAAGTTCCTACTGGTTTGACTGCCCCATAATAATGAACTGTAACCTGAAATTGTGAGCCAAGATAAATAAAACCTTTCTACCCAAACCTGCTTTTTTGTCAGGTATTTTATCACAGCAACAGAAGCTAAACAATATTTCACAACATTCAAAACAATAACATTGAATACTTTTAAGGTAAAAATTCTATACCTGTTAGATCCTACAATGTGATGTTGTCATACAATACATTACAGAAGCAACTGTGAATCAGAACTTAATTTTTGAAACTGGCACTGAAAGGGCAAACATTACCAGAAAATTAACTTCATTGATTTCTAGAAAATGCTTGTTTTAAAACATTGTTTTATTCAAATGCTACCCATGTGTACAATTAGAAAACAAGCAGAATAGAAGTAAATGTTTTATTCTTCCAACTAAACCAGTACTACAAGGGCAGTAAAACAATGATACACTGGTGGGGGGAGGGGGGAATGAACGCAGCAATAAACATTTGTTAAAAAGACTGATAGAATAAATAAAACTACCAAAAAATAAAATAAAAACGAAATCATATAAACCCATTCTGAAACCCCAAGAAGTCCTGGAATACAGAATTGCCCTCCTCCTCCACTATTTCACAGAAGTACTGTAGCTAAACTGCTTAACTGTCCTGGGATTACATTCTAAATTATTAATAACTGGTTACAGCTTGGTTGTAGTGAACAATTAAAATCACACTAACTTCATTTGAAGTGCCATTCTACAGTTTTATTTACATAACCAGTGAAGGGCATGTTCTAGAATACCAGCTTTAATCCTTTCAAACATTAATATAAGAAGCCAAATTGTAATGATACAGCAAAATGAGGCCACTGGTATTAATACAAGTAGCAAAGGTCCACATCCAGGTGGTAACGACATCACAGAAATTTCCAAAACCAGTTGTTGCTGCCTAAGAGTGGTTGCCACTGACGAAAGCTTGAAACCTGTATTCACAGATGGGCACTGGCATTGCTGTATGTCAGTTGGGACCTCCTGTAACAACTCAACAAGGAACAAGGCAGCCCACAAATGCAAAAAAGCACGATTCATGAAACATCTAAAAAAGAGAAAAGTAGTATTAGTGCAAAGTACAGGTCAAACTTCATTCTTTGAAATAAAATGCAAATATACCAGATAATTCATGCCCAACATTGTCTAGGTATTTAAGTGAAAAATAGGCTTTGCAACGTTTTACTTTTTTTTTTTTTTTTTTTTTTTTTTTTTTTGGAAAGGGTCTCCCTGTAGCCCCAGCTGGGCTGGAACTCACTATATAGACCAGGCTGGCCTTGAACTCACAGAGATCCACCTGCCTCTGCTGGGATTAAAGGTGTGCACTACCATGACCATGCCCGGCTTACAAAGTTTTACTTTTTAAAACCAGCCTTTTCTCCATATGTTTGACTCTTCTTGAAAATGAAAATATTTCCACCTTAAAAGATACTCTTTCCAGTTTGTAATTCAAAGATCAAATACTTACAACTAGCAGGCTGTTCTCCATATCGTCGCATTATTTGATCGTGCGTGAATTTCACAAATGCATCATATTGTTCTACAAATAAAGGTGCATTTCAATTACATGACTTGCAGAATACCCTATTCTATAAAGCATACAGTGAAACAATTCTAATACCTCAATCATCGCCAGTAAAGAACTTAAAATGAGTTCTGTAATATTTTAAACTAATTCCTTTACCTGCAAGTTTTGTGTTCAGTATTTCTTCATACTCTTCTCGAACTTTCTCTTCACGTTCTTTCAATAAACGTTCACATATCATCCCAACCTGTCGTAGAGTAAATAGGGGCTGTTCTTTTTTTAATGGTGAAGATGTTGCAGACGAAGTCCCTGTGAACAAGACATAGCACTTTATTTAGAACAGAAACCAACTCCTAAATGGAGGACTTCATTTAGAACTTTCAGTGGCTTAAAATTTTAAGTTTAAAATTCATTTTTTAAAATTTATCACAGAATTTCCCAAGTAATCTTAAAGCATGCTTTAAACTATCAGCCTGTGACTCTGGAAAAACACCTGAGAAATTATCAAAAGGGAAAAAAGCTAAAGTGGAGAAAACTTCAAACAAAAAACATGGCAATAATGGAGCCCATTACATTGAATTTCTGTTCTAGCAAGTTAACTAGTCATGCAGTGTTTTAGTGACTAGTTTACAAACATTGCTACAAAAGAAATATAATCTCTGGTCTAAAACTTCACTTTATTTACTAATTAGAGTAACATGATTAAGCTGTAAAGACACTTCATCAATTTCATCAAATTAGCAAGAATTATTACTTTGGTATTTTTATAATGAATACAAATTTTTATGAGAAAATTTTCTTAAATTTTAAGACACAGGCCTCCATTAAATAGTTTACTGGGAGAAAACAGGATGTTGGCATCTCTCTACCAGGTAATTTATGAACAAAGATGCAATGTTCATTCTGTGACCTCTTGACAGAGCACTGAGCATGTTTATTTCCTCTGAATTGTGTACTTTTTCTAAGTTTGTTTTTAATTAACAATACCTACTTGACAATAAAGACCTAATCAACATTTTATGGTTCAGAGTCCTTAAAGATTATTCATGTAACAACAGCCACCTGGTATTACTAGAGTAAGATACTTCATATGAAAGATTTCCTTAGAAATTCATCCTCTTTTAAGGATTACTTGAGGTACCTCAATCTTCTAAAAACATCATTTTCCTCAGCTTAAGAACATTTGTGATAATTTTCCTGATAGCTCAGGATTATGAGTGCCATCTGCTCCAACATTTCTGCCAAGGATTTTCTACAAGCACACACTAACAACTGCTTCCTTATTTTGCCTCCACTTGCTCCTTATCATTTGCATGACTCACTCCAGTTAACTAGGCTTCCTAGATCTGCGTCTGTCACAAGAATACATACACTAGCTTTAGACAATTACAAAGGCTATCCTAACTTTGAAATTCCCAGCTTTGTAAAGGCTGCTAATTGACATTCTAAGTAAACTAAGAATGAACTTATAATGACCTTAGTTTATTCTGAGTCATCCCCTCGCCATCATATTTCACCCACTTACACTTGGTCTCTTAAATTGGCAGGAATGCTCCAGTATTTAATTTTGAACAACTTCATGTTCCCTGATCAAATTCTGACTACCTTATTTATAGTTTTATTTATCTTTATTCTGCCAGATTTTCCTATCCCAGCTAAGGAAAGCAACTACTGAACATTACCGTATGTAACTTCAGCCTTTTGCCTTGTGGTGGCACACACCTTTAACCTCAGCTCACTGCAGAGGCAGAGGCAGGCGGATCTCTGAGATCAAGGCCAACCTGGTCTACATAGCAAGTTCCAGGTCAGCTGGGACTACAAGGGAGACCCTGTCTCAAAAAAAACTTCTCCACAAAAGTTACATTTCTTCCAAAAGGCAAAGACAAGAATTGATACAGAACTTAAAAAAAAAAAAAAACTTTTAGAAACCCAGCCCAATATGACAAGTGTGCGAGAGAATACAGACAGACGTTTCTATAAAACCTATACAGCAGAATTTCTGAGTTTTAACTGCCAGACCAGTAATTACAGGAGATTGATAAAAAATAGCAGCGTTCAATGATATGAGCTATACCTAACAAGTATATGGTATACTGGTGATTTTCCCAATGAAATTTACAAATCGTTATATTGACACAATGTCCACTTAGTCTTTGGTTGATGGGAATCCAGATGAAAACTGTTATCATATTTTTTAAATATTATATAATACTTAGCATAAAATTGCTTTCAATCTAAGGGAAAAAAGAGCTTAACTCACTGTAGGCATTTGAATTTCATTTTTTCCATACTGTATAACATTTTTTTTTTTTAACATTTCTTTTCATTGTTAAAGTTTCCTGTTACCTGGTGATGCTGGTCCACTGAGGAGAAATGCATGTGGCTGTGCATCAGTACTACAACCTGGGTCTGTCTGTTGAAAACTAGCTTCTAAATGTCTTCTCTTCTGCATGCGTTTATATTCCTGTTTTATGTTGTACAGAATTTGTTCTAAAAGAAAAAAGTAAAAATTTGGCAACATGAAAACTTTTTGCTAAAACATAGCTGGCCTTGCAACAATTCCTTAAAGATAAAATATTCCTTTTGAGGGCCAAGAGAGATGGCTCAGTAGTTAAGAGTACAGGCTGCTCTTGCAAAGAACCAGCACCCATATGCTGGCTAACACTCATTCATAACTCTAGTTCCAGGGGATTCGACACTCTTTTCTGGCCTCCGAAGGCACTGCACACATGGTGGTGCACTTACAGACACGTAGGCAACATACTCATACACATAAAAATTTGAAAGAGAGGTGCTCATTCATAAATAGCATATGCATACCACCTGTAATTCAACTATTCTACAAAGTTGATTCTTGTTGAGCACGAGCTGAGAAAAAGTAATTTTAATATTTTTATTCAAAGTAATGGTCAGGGGATGGACATCAGTTGAGAGTGCTTCTGGCTCTTCCAGAGGACAATCCAAACTAAGTTCACAGGACCCATGTTGGGCAGCTCACCATTTTCTTTTTAACTCCAGCTCCAATAGATACAATGCCCTCTTCAGACCTCCGTGAGCACTCACACACAAGGCATACACACTCACAAAATAAAAAGTAAAAATAAATAATGGTCAGGGAATCTGAACTACAACATTTTTATTTTTATTGTATGAATGTATTGCCTGCATATATGTAAGTGCACCTGTGTCACACAATACCCACGGAGGTCAGAAGGCGGCATTGGATTCCCCTGGGACTGAAGTTATGAACAGTTGTCCACCATGTGGATGTTGGGAACCTAACCTGGGTCCTCTGCAAAAGCATCTAGGGCTCTTAACCACTGAGCCATCTCTCCAGCCCATATAATACACATTTTACTCAGAGTAAACTCAGAGCTCATGTATCTATTACATACATAAGTATTAAAATCAACAGATATTTCCAATAATTAGAAGAAAGCTTGTGTACATTCAGGCACAGGCCAGTAAAAAGTGCCCACAGTTCTAAAATGACAGAGTTTATGGGAACTGAAACGTCATCTTACATAAAATCATCCTAGTCATAATATAAAGCACAAGGGGAACATGAGACTAATAGCAAAGCATTCTGAAGTGATGTGGTACAGCAACAGGTCTCAGTCCTAAGAACCACTATACCACAGTGCAGTTCTTTAAGACAGGTGTACAATTACACCCAGCATTTCCTTTCAGCCAGTATTCTTCACTTTAGAAAGATTTCTAATTGAAAATAGGTATCATTTGATCTCACCAGAAAACGTGTATAGGTTTCTACTAACTTTGCCTCCTCCCCCAGACTTTCTCACTCTCTTCCTTAGCTCCCAAATTAGGTTATCCAGGTCAAACTACACTCCAAGTCGTTTACTAATTCTCACTGAAAGCAACATTAAGCAAAAATTAAAAGTAGCAACAAACAGGCTTTTTAAGAGAGGCTCTAAGAACAAACATTTTAGGTGTTGCCAACTGTTTTAATTAGAAAGTTTCAAGTGTTATGGCCTTTTTCCATTTAAGTAAAATAGTTCATTTTCTTAAAATGCAGTTATCAAGCACCAGGTGTGGTGGTGCATACCTGTAATCCCAGCACTTGAGAGGCAGAGGCAGGCAAATCTCTGTGAGTTCAAGGCCACCCTGGTTTGCATAGTGAGTTCTAGGCCAGCTGGGGCTACGGGGAGACCCTATTACAAAAAGACCAAAAAAAGAAAAACAAACAAAAAAATTGCTTCAAACAAACCCAGGATTAAAATACAGTAAAACTTTTGTTCTAAACATTTCTTAAAATGAGTTCTAAAACCTGCATTACTTTTTTAACCATAGATTACTACATGTAAAAGTATGAGCAAGAGCTTGACTACAGGCATCTTCATTCTCAAATCTCATAAATACCACTGAGTGCTAATAGAATTTGCTTCCTTAATGGTAAGACATCATTAAACCAGCATTATTCCTTTGGAAGATTTTTTTAAAATATTTTGTTATTTTTATACATGAGTGTTTTGCCTGAGTGTATGTAAATGCACCAGGTGCATTCAGTGCCCATGGAGGCTTTAAGAGGACATTGGATCCCCCAGAACTGGATTTAGAGGCGTTCTAGGTGTTGAGAACCAAACCTGGGTCTTCTAAAAGAGCTGCCAGTACTCTTAACCACTGGAGCCATCTCTCAAGTCCCCACTTTGGATGATTTTTAAAAACAAGTTAGGTGAAGGTAAATAGTAAAGGCACAATAATAATTAAATAGTAAAAAATTTAATTTTTACTATTTAAATTCTGGACACAATGAACAAGGTCACAAATAGAAAACAGTCATAGGACTTTTAAAAAGGTAACTGAGGGGCTAGGGAGATGGATCAGTGCTAAGAGCACTTGCTCTGCAAGTATGACTGGAGTTTACATCCCCAGCACCCACATAAAAAGCATGTCCTGTAACCCCAGCATTGGGGTACAGAAGAGACAGGCAGATTCTGAGCCAGCCCAGCTAAAATGAGCTTTCAGTTCAGTAAGAGATCCTGTGTCTCAAGGCAAAAACCTGGAGAATGACAGGATAATAGCCCATGACCTGCTCTTCTCTCTATGCACATGCCATCGGTGTGACCACTCACACACTAACATGCATGCAACACACATACAAATGCACATACACGCATGCTTGCTCATCATACTGAATTGATGAGAGCAAGAAAACAGCATCAAGATAGGACTAAGACCTAAGAGATGGCTCAGTGGGGAAGGGTGATTGCCTCCAAGAGACCCACATTCAATTCCCCAGAATCCACATGGAAAACAGGAAGATTTCCCTCAAGTTGTCCTTTGATCACCACACACATACACAGAAAACATTTTTTTTTTTAAACTGGGACTGAGGAAGTGAAGGGACATGGAAAAGAGTAAAAACGCTGAGAATCCCAAATCGAAGGAGAGGGGTGTTATATCATCTTTTTGGAGCCTATAAGTTCTAAAAGTCTAAGATGTAAAATTAAACTTTTAGTCCAGGTCTATTAAAGTTTTAAATTTCCTACATATATTATTAGATCACTACAGTCATAAGAAGCTGCTCAAGTATCTCAAATAACCGCTGGCTGTACAGTTATCAGTGAAATGACAGAATCTGACCTTGCAGCAATTTATAGCTTTTCTTCCTCATGTAGGAATAAATTAATGAATATTCCTCAGATAGTAAAATATAAAGTTATAACCTAAGTCACTTTGCAAAGACAGGCAGCAGATTTTGTAAGGACAGCTCAATCTAACTAAAATACAAATCCATTTCCTATTGACTTGTTAGGATACCCTTTTCCCTCCAAATCTATATAAAAGAAACTGCCAACTTTTGTAGTTATGTTTCACAAACTAATAAAGACTTATACTAATAAAGCTCTAGTACTTTCTTTAGATTTATTTGTACACGTGTGGGTATGTGAGGCATCAGATGCCCATGGACGTGGAGTTAGAGGCAGTTGTGAGCCACCCCCTGCCCCTGTAGTAGATGCTGGTAACTGAGCTTGAGTCCTCTGCAGTAAATGATCTTAACCACTCTTAACCACTGAGTAATCTTTCCAGTCGCAAACATTTTTTTCTTTTTTCTTTAAACAAGTGTGAATGTGTCCTCAACATTTAAAAGCTGGGTGACCTTCTACAACCTCTTTGATCTCTCCCTAACATACCCTTTAAAAAAAAAAAAAAAAAAAAAAAAGAATTTCAGGGGGTTGGAGAGATGGCTCACTGGTCAAGAGCACTGACTGCTCTTGCAGAG